TTCACCACGCCCCCCATGTGATCTCCTGTCCCTACTGCCCCCACCTGTATGCCCACCTGCCAATCAGGCTACGTAACCACCCTCTTTGGGAGTAAATAAAAGGCCTGGAGCATGGTGGGCCCCTCCTTTTGCTGCCCGGTGCCTTCTGGGCGCGTGGCCTTTGGGCTGCCCATGCTAAGTTGCTAGTAGCTGCTCATAACCAAACACTTGCTGCATGCGGCTCTTGGCCTGCTCTCTGCTGGGTGTGGATTCCAACTTCAGTTCCAGACTTCCCTTTCTCCTTTAGATAAAGCCCTCACTCTCCTATGCATTTCTCTCACTAAATAAAAAGTTTAAAAACTTACCATGTTGTCTGGTCTATCTGAGCCAGTATTCAGAATTCTTCCCCGAATACGTGGCAAGAGCCCACAAGTTATTAACATTAGAAAATATTAATAAGCAGGACAGTATCACACCAACACACACGGCCGAATACCAGGAGGCACAGTGCTAAAAATGAATGTTTTTAAATGTGCTTTAGTTCTTTCACCAGATAAACTCAGTAAAATTCTAGTAAGTTTAGCAATACTGACCAAAAGCCTTGATGACTGACACTGGGTGATCAGACATTGTCACTTAGGATGTAAGTTTCCTTTAAGTTCCTGATTCATCCTCAGGTTAAAGGAAGGCTGGCCAAATTTCCATGTTTCCATGGAAACCAGCAGGCTGCCAAGCTCATTTGACAGAGGGATGCACAAGCCAGGGGCAGCATCTCCCAGCATCACACCACGCTCTCCTTGCCTGCCAGCCGCGGTTTCCACAGCTGCCAGCACCAAGCATGTGTGGCCCTCAGAGCCTTGCCCCCAGCACGCCAGCTGGCAGCAGGCAAAACATATGCAGGCTCTGCTAGGGACACCCTAAATACTTCTTCTTATCCTAATGGCAGTCTAAAATCAGTGCTATTGGTCCCCTTTTGCAGATGCGAAGAGACGGCTTAGCAATGCAAGACTTTACTACTCGTGTCACCGTGTTGTGCCCGATCAGCCTGCTAGCCCTCTTCTGGCCCTCTGCCATCTAGGACAAAAGAGTTGGGAGAATGCCCCCTCCAAAACTTACCTCGACGTCCAGCCAGAAGCTGGCCACAGTTGGCCAGGGGAGGCTTCATCTTCCCCAAAGCAGGGGGTCTCAACCCCAAGCCCCCGCCTGCATGTCGCCCTTCCTGGGTGGGCTCTGGCTGACCCTCACTACCAGGCCTGCGGCCTGTCGTCATGGCTCCATCATGCCCCAGGCTCACCCCCGGAGACTGCAGAAGTGCAGAGGCTGCGGATGTGTCAGGACCTGCAGCTGCTGTCAGGGAGGCCATGAGGGCTGCATGGAGTGCTTTCACCTTTCCTTATCATTTTGCATGCAATCCATCTGCTCTTGCAATGCCCCAACATAGCCCCTTGATCCTATCTTATCAGCATTTAAGCATTACTCATTTTACGGCCCTTTTATTGTAATAAATCTCCACCTGTGCTGTCCCTCTTTGGCCAAGCTTTACCACAGAACAGTGTAGGATGTTGAATCACGATAAAAGCTGTAAACATGTAATTGCTGACACATACAAATGTTCTCAATTTTATCTTTCTAGACTGTTTTTTAAATAACTTAAGCATTTTCTCCTGCTACCCAAAGTGTTGAGACAATGCTTCTCAAATCTGGTTGTACATTCAGATCACCTGCAGATCATGGCCTAAGGGCCAGCGCAGACCAAGCTGGTTGGGCTCAGGGATGGCGGGGCCTGGGCATTGTTTAAGAATCCTTGGGCTTCTAAGATTCAAACACTTCAAGGCAGTGAACTCAAACTGGAAGATTGTGAAAATACTGGTGCCTGAGTCCCTCCCCCAGAGATTTCCATGCAACTGGCCAGGGTGAAGTTGGGAAAAGCTCCCCAGGGGAATCTAATGGGCAGCCAAGTTTGAGAACAATGCAGAGTACAAGAGACCAAACATCATTCAATAGGAAAATATGGCAAATTAGAATCCATAAGAACACTTTTCACAGACCCCTGACTGGCTGGAATCCGGCACTTCTGCCTGCTTGAGTCTCCTTCCAAATAAAGGGCTGGTGAAGAGAACGGCTGCTCCCACACTCCCACACGTTCTCAGGTTGCTTCCCGAAGTTCCTTCTGAGGCTTCCTGCTTACCTCTTAAAAGTGAAGACTTGAGGGGCCAGCATTGGGAAGCAGTGAGTTCAGCCACAGCCTGCAACGCCAGCACCCTGTACGAGCAGCAGTTCAAGTCCTGGCTTCTCCACCTCTGACCCAGCTCCCTGCTAATATACCTGGGAAAGCAGCGGAAGATGGCCCAAGTACTTCCTCCCCTGCCCCCTGCACCCACATGGGTGACCCGGAAAGAGTTTCTGGTTCCTGGCTTCGGCTTGGCCGAGTCCAATCATTGCAGTCATTTGGGGAGTGAACCAGTGGATGGAAGAGATCTCCTCCTTGCTCTGTTTCTCTCTCACTGTCTCTGTAACTCCCTTTCAAGTAAATAATTAAATCTTTAACAACAACAACAAAAAAGTGGGAGCCCATGTTGTGACATAGCAGGTATATCTGCCACCTGTGGTGCCGGCATCCCATATGAGTACAGGTTCAAGTCCTGGCTGCTCCATTTCAAGCCAGCTCCCTGCTAATGCTCTGGCTTAGACCTGGCCCAGCACCAGCTGTTGCAGCCATCTGAGGAGGGACCCAGAGGATGGAAGATCTCTCTGTGTTTGTAACTCTGCCTTTCAAATAAATAAAACAAACCTTTTAAAAAAAAAAAAGTTCAGACTTGAAAACAAAGAACCCAGGGTTAGAGTTCCAGCTGCCTGACTCCAGGCAATGTATGTAGTTAACTCCTTAAGCCTCCATCTCCTCCTCTGTTCAATGGGAAAAATAACCATCTCTTGAGTGGCAGTTCAGAGAGTAAAAGTGACAGTGCAGGTAGAGGGAACAGCAGGGGACTCCACCTAGTAAGTCTTCCATAAGCAGTGACTATTTTGATTACTGGTCATCTTGTTTAGTCTCTTGTCGGTACTAGTTAATAATCATTGATACTTAAATAGGCACATCACATTCCAGGTACTGTCCTAAACACTCTTCATAGATATTAACTCTGAATTCTCATGGTGCCCTTATGAAGGAACCCACTTCTGAGCCCTACTTTACAGATAAGCAAACTGAGGGACAGAGGATTATTTCCCCAAGGTCCCAGAAGAAGTCAGTGGTAGAGCTATGTGGGGTTCCAGAGCCCATGTTCCTAACACTGGCAGAATGACCCTTGCATTCCTGTCACTTGCTCCCATTTCCAAACTGTGTCCTACAAACCAGAACTCTAAGGTAGCAACAGACATGATAAGTCTAATGAGATCATGGATCATCCCAAGCATCAAATCAGCCCTTCTCTCCCTGGGCTGGGTCGTGCTCAGCTTCTTTCCTTGTCCCTCTGACTGACCATCTCTTTTTAGGCCTAACACCTGCGTAAGCAACTTTCACTTATGTCTTCCATTTGTTAAGAGGCTTAAACAAAATCACCTGTTGAAAGGCCCAGGCAAACTATCAGGACATAGTCCATTCAATCAACATTATTTCCCTGTCATCCTTAATGGGTTTGACTCCTCAAGCCACTGGCCATTATTTCCTCCCAAGAAATACACCTGCAATCAGGTTAGCTCAGTGAACAGCCAGAACGTTCCTTTGAGCAGACAGATCCAATGCCAGTACGTGGCAGGAGGTGTCGGAGAAAGGAAGGCAGCCATCCGGGAGGGACCATTGCCTCAGAGAGAGTGGTCCTTACCCAGAAAGGCCGGGGTCTGAACATCAGCTTCTTACCACCCTCTCAGCCCCTCAGACCCACTTGCAAGTTTAATCATTTTCTTCCACCATTTATGCCCAGAGGCAGTCTGTAAGAGAGCTCTTTTCCCTGGGTTTGCACCCAACGAAGCCAGCGTTCCAAAGCTTCCCACAGACCTGCCAGAGCCCCCCACTTAGCCCTGTTGGCTTCATGTAAGCATTCTCCAAAGCCTCCCTTGCTTTGTTGCTTATCCATGCCAAGAATTACCCATGAGGTTTGTTTTTCATTACTTCCTGATTGCTTTTACTTAGCTTCCTAGATGTCAACTGGAAAGGCACCGCTCAGCACCGTAGCCACTTCGTCCATTAGCTTCCCTTACTGATGGCTCTGCCTTCTATCTGCTAGCTCTTTTTCCCTAGCATCATTTTTGACATTTTCCTGGCCCCTTATTTTCAAGCCACAGCATCTACAAAGCCAGTCTAGTAGCCTATGAACTATTCCTACCTTCTAGAAATTTCCTGGCAAGAGAAAAGTACACGTGGGAAACCTTCCTAATTTAGGCTAGGTGGGTTTCAAAGATGTGGATGCTGCCTCCCCATGGTTTCCAGAATAGCTTTAAAGAAATGCTTTTCCCCAGAATAGTAAAGGGGAGCTGTGCAGCATCTCCAGGAGTCTTAGAAGGTAGAAAGAATGTGCGTTGTGGGGTCCACTGATGTGGCTGAAACTCCGAACCTTGGGTTGACTTCAGTGTCCCCTTCTGTAAAGCACATTGAATAAATGGAGACTAATAATAAGACTGTTGCAGACCTTAAAGGAGAAAGGGCATTTAAAAACCTTGGCACATAGTGAATGCTCAAGCAAGGATTGCTGGGGTCTCTGCTATTATCTTCCTTATAGAATTCTAGTTTCCAGGATGCATCAAGAACCAAGGCATAGAAAACACGTCTGTAAACAGGGAGGGAGAACTCAAGGAGAATCGATGTGCTCTGGCCCTGCGGTCCAGGGAGGCGGAAGAGGAAGTGGGGCCCCTGCCCCTGGCATTTCCCGCCCTCCCCGTCCCACACTCTCTGTCACCCTCCTCCTTTTCCCTGACTTGTCTCTTAAAAGGTGCCGCTGTGACACCAGAGGAGCTGCTGACGCTTGGTGGGGAAGTACCCAGAGCTTACCCGGCCCCTTCTCCACTGTGAGCTTTCTCTCCTTTTGAGACATTCTTACCACTAATTTTTATAGTTTTTTTAATTTTTCATTAGTTTTTAAGTTTTTCAATGTGCTTTGTAGATACAATTCTAATAATATAATGATATCCCTTCTTCCCTACCTCCCTCTCCCTCTGTCCCTTCCATCCTCCTTCCTTCCTTCTCCCTTTCTTTTTTTTTTGTTTAGTTTTTAATATAATATATTTTAAATTTACATTACTGTGACTTATCTTAAAGACTAAAAATTCCAGCATGCACTCTAAACTAGTAACAACAATTGGAATGCGGGAATAGGGAGGGAGAGGGAGGTGGTGGGGAATGGGTTTTTCCCTGTTTATCATATATGATTTATAAGTATTGGGGTTGTGGGTGTGCTGTATTTTTCCAGTTCAATTTCCAGTTAATTTATGCCTGTTTGATATTAAATAAATGAATAATGAAGATTTCTCATTCCCATTAAATGGATTTTTTCTGATTCAGAAATTCCAGAGCAGTAATGCCCGTTTCACTTGGTTTCAGCATTTTGAGTTCTTTCAGCCTTACAAGCTGGTAGAAGAAACTGGCTGCCATCCATGAGACGAGCGGAGAGGGCACCTGTAAAGGGAGGAAGATGTGATTCCTGTTGGTACAGAAATGAGCACCTCAGTCTGAGACCGACGGACTTCCTTCTGTGAAACCCTATATTCCAGAAGTCTCCCTGCAGCCATTGTCTTTGGCTTATTTTAAAGTCTTCTTTGGCACTTAGGGTGTTGTTAGAAAGAGCTTTACTCTTGGTTCATCAATAATGCTGGCGGCTAAACACACACACACGTATCTCCAAGCAGTGTTCTTTGTGTCCACTGTTACGGGGGTGTGGGTGGATGTGGGGGCAAATCCCTTGCAAGGGGAAGAACCATCTCTGCAAATAGAGTTCTGTACACTCTGGAGTTCAAGCTCAGACAAGCTCTGATTCAAAGCATATGGCCTAAATTACCCCCAATTCATGTTTTGCCAGTCATTGCCACTGACAGGTGCATCCCAAATTTCTTCCCATCCACCAAGAACACACCACCTGCCCACTCTGGTCAGTGGATACTCTTCTCTGCAGGCACATGGCAGAAGGAACCCATGGCTCTCCTTGGTCAATGTCCCCAGGCTTTAGTTGCTGCCTTCCAAAACTCAAGAAACAGTGCCAACATGGAGAGCAAGTTGGCGGTGTCCTTGGTTCCCTAGACTGTTTTGCAATCTGCTGCTCACACCTCTTAGCCTTCTTGACAGGAAGAAAGGGAGAGGCAGCACTTCCTTTCCTCTGTGTGATGCCAGCTTCTTTTCTCAGCTCTATCTTCCCTCTTTCTTCTCTGTGACATCTCTTTGGCTGACCAGAAAGTCACTGATGGTCTTCCTTCTGGCATCTCTTGATCCCTCCTCCAGCCAGGAGTCTCCCTCTGGTACATTTCTCTGGTGGTTAATTGATTGCTCAGAATGGAATGGTTTTGCTGGCTGCATTTAAACTTGACAGTGCACAGAGCTGCAGCTCCCAGAGCCCATGGCCAGCTCATCTGTCCTGCAGAGAGCAGGATCCACAAACCTTAGTCGGCATCTCCTCTCAGGATTCCTGGTTTTCCAATGAGGACCTGCCTTAGCTCGGTTCAGTAGAAACAAGGACTCCATTCTGGGTATTTCGTGTTGAGGTGGGAGTTGGGGAGTGATCCCAGGAAGCAGGAACAAGGGACTATGAGAAAGAAAGAGAAAAATCCAATTTAAGGGTAAGTTATTGATGTCAGCTCTGTAGGCAGTGGGCTCCATTCTCCTGCTGACCTCTGAGAAGTGTTCAGATTTCCCCCAAAATTATCAGCCTAAAGGGTGGGAGACACTACAGACTCCACTTGTGTTTTTGCTTCAAGGTGGCCCCCAAGAGATCTCCACTTCCGATTCTTTCTGTGCATAGACCAAGAAGGCACTCATGATTTTGAGAAGGTCCCTGAGACAGAAAAAAAAAATGATACTGACCATAGAAGAGAAGAGAAATCAGAGCTCATGGAGAATTGTTTAGGACACTAAGGCCAACTCAAGGGTGTGCTGGGGGAAGGTAACACAAAGCCCCAACTACGATATGATTGTAACTACTCCAGGCAATGCATGCACATGGTCAGAAGACCAAGGAGGGAAGAGGGCCCAGGAGAAGGCAGCCATCTCCTCTCCACCCCTCCCCACTCTGTCCCACTCCCCAGAGCCGACTTTGTGCTGCTGTTCCCAGTTTTTCCAGTATTTACCTCTATATCTCACTCTTCCTCAGCAGAGGTGAGGAGCACCCGACCTGCAAGTCATAGTCTGGTCTGGCCCTACCAAGGCAGGACTCAAAATACAAAAAATCTGTAGTAGGCTCATTTTTAAGTGGATGATTTTGTGTAGCCCATAAATAGCCAAATGGCCCATGGCAGAAAGCAAGCTCCCCACCCTAGCTGAAAAGAGTCACACTGTAAAGTCATTCATCCCTTCCACACCAGGGGTTTCCCATGAGGCTTTCTGTTTGAGCCTGGTCTACCTTTTCCCCCAAGAATCACACATAAGAAAATGTCAGAGGGATTTGACTCAGAGGATTCATTATTAACTCTTTACAAACAGACGTCTATGCCTCATCAGGCTTACTCTGAGCACTGGGCTCTTCGATATACGCAAGCAAGACCTCAGTCTAAGGGAAACGCTTGGGTTCACATGATTTCCTTTCCACAGCGGTGATGACTGCAGAAGACAGAGACAACAGTTAGCAGAATGCTAGAGCAGGAGATAGACGGAACTAGAAGTCTGAACGTTAGTACAAGGGACAGGGCCAACTGCTGTGGGCAAACACTGATTCTAACAAGAAATGAATTTCTGCAAATACAACACCCAACCCAGAGAGATGCTTCAGAACACGGTGGGCTTCCCGGGCAGACCCAGACCTGCCCTCTGCCCAGGTCACTCAGGGAAAGAGCCATCTCATTGGGTAATGGAGGTAGTGTGTCTCAGGCGGCTGTGCACCCCACATTTGCTGGGATGAACCCAATTGCAGATATTCTATCCTGGTGGCTCCATGGGACCCTGATAGGCCACAGAAGTGGTAGCGTAAAACATTCACTGATTGAAGAGCTGTGAACTTAGCCCTGGAGTGAGAGTTCAGCCCAGCAGCTGTGGCGTCTTCTGTCTCGTCTCACAGTTCAGCGCCGGCACACTTAGCTGTATGATCCTGAGTAATTTACTCAACCTCTCTTGTCCTTGGGGTTTTATCAACAAACAGAGGATAATAACACACTCTACTTCCAAATAGCAATAGAAGGATTAAGTGAGATAACACAGTGTTTCTCCATCCATCTGTGGTGATGGGAAACATTTCTAAAACCTGCAGGCTCTTGTGGACTGAAACTCTGAAAATACCGTAAAATTACCAATTATATAGCAAGGACAAATAGAAGTTTCTAAATACTTTCCAGTCCTGTACTTGTCTTAAGTTTATACCAAGTGGCTGCCAATCGACATTGTCTGCTGACCACACTCAGTAACCCTGCAATCACATATTAAAAGGACTAAGCATGGTGGCTGGCATGCAGTAAGAGCTCAATAAATGTTGGCTGTTATAATTATCATTACCCTATGATGCATGTGCTTTATGGTAAAAGCTTTTATTGATGGGAACCGTGTGGTCAGGACCTGTCTCTGGCTGAGCTGTAAAGAGCTGAGCTGCTGAGGCAGTAAATGATAACAGTGAGCCACGGGGCCAGTGCTGTGGCATAGTGGGTAAAGCCACTTCTTGCAGTGCCAGGATCCCATATAGGTGCCAGTTCAAGTCCCGATTGCTACACCTCCAATCCCGCTCTCTGCTAAGGCCTGGGAAAGTAGTAGTAGTAGTCCTTGGGCTTCTGCACCCACCAACTGGGGAGTGAACCATCAGATGGAAGACGTCTCTCTCTCTCTCTCTCTCTCTCTGCCTTTCCTCTCTCTGTATAACTCTTTTTTTAAAAAAAAGAAACTCTTTTTTTTAATTTATTTATTTGACAGATAGAGTTAGACACTGAGAGAGAGAGACAGAGAGAAAGGTCTTCCTTCCGTTGGTTCAACCCCAAAATGGCCGCTACGGCCAGCACTGCGCCGATCTGAAGCCAGGAGCCAGGTGCTTCCTCCTGGTCTCCCACGTGGGTGCAGGGGCCCAAGCACTTGGGCCATCCTCCACTGCACTCCTGGGCCACAGCAGAGAGCTGGACTGGAAGAAGAGCAACTGGGACCAGAACCCGGCGCCCACATGGGATGCCGGCGCCACAGGCGGAGGATTAAGCGAGCCATGGAGTCGGCCCCTCTCTTTGTAAATCTTTCAAATAAATAAATAAATCTCTTAAAAAAAAAAAAAGTGAGCCACAATGAAAGGGAAACAGAAGGCTTCTATCACTTAGTAAAAAAATAAATAAATAAAAGCAAGAAGCTAAAACCAGAGAGAGCAGCTCCTTCTCCCCTGTTCCACTTCCCCCACAGACAGGTGCACCAGCTGAGGGCCCGGTGGATCCACACAGACCTGGGGTTTGGATGCAGGGAGGGAGGTCTCACTGCTAGGGAGCCTAGAACAAGAGGCTCTCAAAGTTTTAAGGACCTGGGGGATCAGAATGGTGAGGGCTACAAACAGAAAAGTATTGGATAGCGAGTTAGAGTCAGTCTCCCTGCAAAAGGAGACCTCCACACGGAGGTGCCTGGGCCCGGGTTGCAGCTCTGTGGCCGAACAGGGCCAGCCTCGGGAGCCTGAGGACCTGAATGAGCCCCCTTCAGACACTGCCTCATGCTGGCTGGGCACCGGCCATGTGGAGCCTTTGTCAAGCTCCCCCCAACCATAGAGGCACCTATCTCCAGCTCCGAACCAATCAGCAGCAATAAGCATCTGGACCCTAACTGCAAAGCCCCTCTTAGTGCTCTGTGAGGGGCACCCCAACTTGCACACAGGCCCAGTGAGCCCGACGTGACCCCTATGTGACCTCCCTGTGGGTCCAGGAGTGAACAACACTGCCATTTTGAGTGTTGTATACAAAAAAACAACCAAATGTGCCTTCCTGAACACCCAGCTGGATGCAAACTAAAGTGCCACGTGCCGAGGGTGAGGACCAGGAACTGCAAGCCAAGTGCAGATGGACGTGTGTGTGCTCTGGGGAGCCAGGCCTCCCGAACCCCTTAAAAGCACCTGTTTTGCTCCCTTCAGGGAGCAAGTCAGTGAAAGCCCTTCTGGCCATGCTGTCTTCCTTGTGTTCAAGCATAAATCCTCAATAAACCTTGTCTGGGGTTGCACACTGGCCTCTTGTCAATTGCTGTTCCCAAAGGAGCCAAAGAACCTGGAGTTTGCCAGAACCTGGGGTTGGAAACAATAGCACCATGTTAAAATCCCAACTCAAAAACAAATGCCATGTCTAGAGACAATCTGAACAATATGAAGAGTCTTAAAAAAAAAAAAATGATGAGGGCCGGCGCCGTGACTCACTGGGTTAATCCTCCGCCTGCAGCGCCGGCATCCCATATGGGTGCTGGGTTCTAGTCCCGGTTGCTCCTCTTCCAGTCCAGCTCTCTGCTGTGGCTCAGGAGGGCAGTGGAGGATGGCCCAAGTGCTTGAGCCCTTGCACCCGCATGGGAGACCAGGAGGAAACACCTGGCTCCTGGCTTCGGATTGGCACAGCGTCGTCTGTGGAGGCCATTTGGGGGGTGAACCAACGGAAGGAAGACCTTTCTCTCTGTCTCTCTCTCTTTCACTGTCTATAACTCTGCCTGTCAAATTAAAAAAAAAAATGATGAAAGGTAACACAGCAAAACTCGGTGTTTTTTTTCTTCCTTTATAAAAAATATTTCTTTAAAATCATTCCACGAACCACAGATTTGGTAATGATAGCTTTACACATACTACTTCAAATGACATAAATAGGAAAAAAAAAGTCACATAATCACAGAATTCTCATTAGCTCTGCCAGTCAAGTTATTAAGCTGATGCTATCAATGCTTATTTCTATTAATCTCCTGCTGTGATTGAGAAATTCTCCTTAAAAAAATGACTGCCAAATTGGACAGGGCATACAAAGGTATGTAAGGAGGACAGTGAGGGATGAAAGTTGGCAATGTTTGGCTGAGAAAAGAGGCTCCCACGGGTACAGAGACGATACTGTGATAACTTTCTGCAGTATTTCCTAGATTAGCCAGACAGACAGAAACTAACTGAGATGAATAAATAAAAGTAACAAGGAAGCATATTGGAGCTACATGCACAACTGTTTTAACAGAGGCATTCAAGAATTGTTAACAATAGGCTGTCTTAGTCAAGCAGCTATAACAAAAGTACCACTGATAGCTTCACCAACATTTATTTCTTGCAGTTCTGGATATACAGGGGAAACCACGATGAAGGAGCCAGCAGAGTCAGGTCTGGCAAGGGCCCTTCTCCTGGCTTGTAGACAGTCACTATCCTCACACGACCAAAATAGAAATCATCTCTCTTACGTCTTTTCTTATAAGAGCACTAGTCCCATTCACAAAGGTGGCTACCATCACATCCCAATGCCTTTGCAAGGGCCTCACCTTCAAGTGTCATCACATTGTGCAGCAGATCTTCCACACATGAATTCTGGGAAGACACATTCAGTCCATAGCAGGTCACCAAGTCCGAAAACCAAGTATCATAAGGCCACCGCTGTGCTGTAGTGGGCAAAATGCTGCTTGGCAATGCCAGCATCCCAC